TGCTAGATAATACTAATAAATACCTCTGACTACTGTTAGGACTCCGTCACCTGCTCCTTAGCCACCATTTGAATCTGTTGTTACACTGGAGCATACATCCTAGGGCAGTGATTTTCAAACTATGGGTCTGGGTTGTAGAATGTCAGGCACTGGGTCTCATTGCTGCAGGAGGATCAGGTGACCAGTAGGGGGCTAAAGGAGCTCCCTGCCTGTCCTTGCACTGCAGACTGCACTGCACCCCAGAAGCAGCCAGCACCAGGCCCAGCTCTTAGGCATTGGGAGGGGGGGCAGAGCACACAGGGATCGACACAGTGTCTCTACCCTGAGCACTAGCTCCACACTCCCTTTGGCTGGGAACTGCTGTTGGCTGCTTCTGAGGGCTGCATGGTCTGTGGTGCCAGGTTCGGCTGCCAGGTGTCCGGTATGGACCCAGACAGTCCGGGATTTTTGCCGTCTGCCCGGTAAAAAAAAATCAGAAAATATCAGACACCTAAAATGTCCGGTATTTACTGATTTTTTTCCCATCCAGGAGGCGAAAATCCCGGGTGCTTACTTGGTTCCCCAGGGGAGCTGTCTCACCCAGAGCAGGAAGACAAAATGGTGGATGGATGCCAGCAGCCTGTTAGGGCCAAAAGCCTCAAAAGCATTTCTTAAAGGGGCCATGCTGGGTTTTATTTATTTATTGCTTAATAACTCTTGGGGTCCTTTTTTTTCTCAACAACTTTGGTCTCCCCTTTTTTTTCTCAACAGAATTTTTTCCTGTTTTTTGGGATGGGGGTGGGGAGGGGTGTTGTTTGGTATTTTTGGTTAAACCATCTGGCAACTGTAGTGCCAGGAGAAGCAGGAAGCCTGCCTTAGCTCCTTGCCATCGCTGTGTCACTGACTGGGAGCTACTCAAGGTTCCTGTTCCAGCTCTGACTTCCGTCCCCCACCCCAAACCCCAAAACTGTCATCCTCAGCCCCACCCCAGAGCCCATGCTCTGGTCAAATTATGTTGGGTTGTGGACATCAACAATTTTCTTCTACTGAACTGGGTCATGAGGGGGAAAAAAGTTTGAAAACCCCTGTTCTAGGTGACTGGCTTCTTTAAGAGAGAATGGGGTCAAGTTCAGCTGTGACTAATTAGTTTTTTCCTAATGGGGCCCAATAGAAGGCTCCTGGCCTCTGCAAAGATGGAGGGATCAGATCAGAAAGTAGAAAAGGAAAGAACTAGTAAGTGCTACTGGAGGCTGTAATAGGTAGGACTGACTGATAAGAGCTGTTGAAGAGCAGTAACCTGAGCTAGGGAGTTTTGCTTAGCAGAAGACACGTACAAAGGCTCTTAAGTAAAAAGAGCAGAATTAGCTTAGTCAAAGAGAGCTGAGCCCAGGAAAACGAAGGTTGATTCAGCACAATTTTTTAGAAGTTTCCTTTTAAATAAAAATGAACAATGCTTCACATTTATTAATGTATAACTGCAGTGTTCTTAATTATATAGCTTCCAACACTCTAGTTCTAGGCGCCTGATCTACATAATTTCTGCAATAATCATACTGTATACAGGTCCTTATATTTTTGGCCAGAGTGAAAGGATTTGCAGAATTTAATAGTTTTATCCCAACTTAATAGACCCTTACTTCATAAATAGTACCATTTATTTCAATAGGAATATGTGGTACTATTCAATGTAAGACTATTAGAATTTTGCCCTGCATAGTTATTTTTAATATAAATATGCATAAATTCCAACATAGCCCCCTTGATTTTTCTCTCCTTTAAAGAATTCTTCTTATCAAATATCTCACTGTTGCAGCAGCTCCATCAATGTATGGTGAATGTATGCTACTTCTTAGCAAGAAATTTAAATCGACTATGCATATTAGGAAGAGTCTTGTATGCACGTGAAAACAGTGTGCTTTCAAAGTTCTTATAAGGTACACTCACCTTAAAACAATTGCAGTATCTTTATGCAGCCGGCTTCTCTGTACAACATTGAGAATTCTTGCTCTCCTGCATTCAAATAGAATATTCCCTAAATCTCAACAATGTATCAAAACAGCACTTTTCTATCTAGTTAATTAGCGTCAGACTGAATCCCCTGTGAACCATGGTCTTCAAGGTTACTCTGTGTTAATAACTCCTCATCAAAGGCTGATAAGATGGCCCTCTTTCAGAATGGTAGAGTGGATGCAAAATCATAATTAAAGTTGTAGCAGACCACATAGAAGATACATCAAAAGAATCTTTAACAATTTAGCCTTCACAATCAAATTCAATAACTACTGGAGTGTCATTACACTGCAGTCTTCCTTTAAGTCTACTGTGAGCTGAATGCCTTTAATCTAGGTCCCTGGCCCCCTCTACCTATTTACCAAACCGGCAAATTGCATGGAACAGCCACAAAAGGAAGCAGCTGAGTGTGGCTGTTGATAATGGGTTTTTTCCCCCACTGTTTTATTTTGTGCTAGGCCATGAACAAGTATAATCATGGTATGGTGTGACACAACTGTAAATTACTTCAAATTCAGTAGCTGGCAATGCTATTTCTGCCTCTTCCCAATGTCCTGTGACCAGCCTTGTGGCATGTTTTTTATGCCCAATACTAGCACACCCAAAAACAAGTGACCACCACAAATGTGATCAGAAAGTCTGTAACACTGAAAAATGCCTTGGGCTGATTCTTAGCATCTTTTTAACATTTGAGCAGTTCAAACTGCTGCAGCAGATCTAAACTCAAATGAGTTGGCAGAGCTTTTGCTCAAGGTTGTATTTGCAACCAACATTATACACTTACTTGCTATTAAGTTGTTTATTTTCCAACATAGAAGCGGCTCCGCTCTGCCCAGAATGTATTGCCTACTTTGCAAATGAAGAGAAAAAGCTTTCCAAGCACAGAAAGGACCAAATCATATACTGAACAGCATAGAAATCTCATTAAGAATAAACACATCTGCTAGATGTGGAGCCATCATTGCTGGTAGCAAGCTGATTTAATAACATCATTGCTGCAGCCATTAAATAAGACCCAAATACCAAATTGGCTATATACATTAATAATCAAAATAATATTCAATAGCAAATATAATTCTAGAGCACAGCCACAGCTCAGGGTCCCATCTTCACATCACTCTAAATTTTACTTTTCCTCTCCACACTGGACAATACCTGCTTGTGGAACCTAGAAGAGTCTCCCTCAACTTTTCTTTCATTTTTAACCTGACATGACAATGCTGATCCTTCCTCCTCAGAAGGATTCAATTGCAATCAGTTAGAAGGCTGTCCTGTAACCAACAGAAAGGGGTGACGTTGACTGAAGTACCAAGTTTGCTTTCACCATTCAACCGACTATGGCCTTTTTGAGCTTTTTTGGCTATAAAATCTCCAAGGAAAACCACCAGTGTGGATGAATAACACACAGGTATGTCCTTCAGACATTCGAATGTCCGTGGCCTAAGGGAGCTAATTCTAATGATACTATGTTCATTAGTGACAAAGGAGGGTCTTGTGCTTAAGGCACAGGTGAGGAAATCAGGAGACCTCAATTATATTGCTGACTTTGTCACCACTTTCCAGTGCAAACTTGAGTGAGACAATTACCATCTCCATACCCCTGTTACTAATCTGTACCTCCCAGGGTCTTGAGAGGTAAAATGCATTGTTGTAAAATGCTTTCAGATCCATGGGCAGAAGGTGCTGTAGAAGTATGCTAGTTATTTTTATTGCTTATTTTGTCTCTAAAAACATCACAAATCTTTTTTATTCATGCTGTGTCTACTGCCTTAGCTCCTTGCCATCGCTGTGTCACTGACTGGGAGCTACTCAAGGTTCCTGTTCCAGCTCTGACTTCCGTCCCCCACCCCAAACCCCAAAACTGTCATCCTCAGCCCCACCCCAGAGCCCATGCTCTGGTCAAATTATGTTGGGTTGTGGACATCAACAATTTTCTTCTACTGAACTGGGTCATGAGGGGGAAAAAAGTTTGAAAACCCCTGTTCTAGGTGACTGGCTTCTTTAAGAGAGAATGGGGTCAAGTTCAGCTGTGACTAATTAGTTTTTTCCTAATGGGGCCCAATAGAAGGCTCCTGGCCTCTGCAAAGATGGAGGGATCAGATCAGAAAGTAGAAAAGGAAAGAACTAGTAAGTGCTACTGGAGGCTGTAATAGGTAGGACTGACTGATAAGAGCTGTTGAAGAGCAGTAACCTGAGCTAGGGAGTTTTGCTTAGCAGAAGACACGTACAAAGGCTCTTAAGTAAAAAGAGCAGAATTAGCTTAGTCAAAGAGAGCTGAGCCCAGGAAAACGAAGGTTGATTCAGCACAATTTTTTAGAAGTTTCCTTTTAAATAAAAATGAACAATGCTTCACATTTATTAATGTATAACTGCAGTGTTCTTAATTATATAGCTTCCAACACTCTAGTTCTAGGCGCCTGATCTACATAATTTCTGCAATAATCATACTGTATACAGGTCCTTATATTTTTGGCCAGAGTGAAAGGATTTGCAGAATTTAATAGTTTTATCCCAACTTAATAGACCCTTACTTCATAAATAGTACCATTTATTTCAATAGGAATATGTGGTACTATTCAATGTAAGACTATTAGAATTTTGCCCTGCATAGTTATTTTTAATATAAATATGCATAAATTCCAACATAGCCCCCTTGATTTTTCTCTCCTTTAAAGAATTCTTCTTATCAAATATCTCACTGTTGCAGCAGCTCCATCAATGTATGGTGAATGTATGCTACTTCTTAGCAAGAAATTTAAATCGACTATGCATATTAGGAAGAGTCTTGTATGCACGTGAAAACAGTGTGCTTTCAAAGTTCTTATAAGGTACACTCACCTTAAAACAATTGCAGTATCTTTATGCAGCCGGCTTCTCTGTACAACATTGAGAATTCTTGCTCTCCTGCATTCAAATAGAATATTCCCTAAATCTCAACAATGTATCAAAACAGCACTTTTCTATCTAGTTAATTAGCGTCAGACTGAATCCCCTGTGAACCATGGTCTTCAAGGTTACTCTGTGTTAATAACTCCTCATCAAAGGCTGATAAGATGGCCCTCTTTCAGAATGGTAGAGTGGATGCAAAATCATAATTAAAGTTGTAGCAGACCACATAGAAGATACATCAAAAGAATCTTTAACAATTTAGCCTTCACAATCAAATTCAATAACTACTGGAGTGTCATTACACTGCAGTCTTCCTTTAAGTCTACTGTGAGCTGAATGCCTTTAATCTAGGTCCCTGGCCCCCTCTACCTATTTACCAAACCGGCAAATTGCATGGAACAGCCACAAAAGGAAGCAGCTGAGTGTGGCTGTTGATAATGGGTTTTTTCCCCCACTGTTTTATTTTGTGCTAGGCCATGAACAAGTATAATCATGGTATGGTGTGACACAACTGTAAATTACTTCAAATTCAGTAGCTGGCAATGCTATTTCTGCCTCTTCCCAATGTCCTGTGACCAGCCTTGTGGCATGTTTTTTATGCCCAATACTAGCACACCCAAAAACAAGTGACCACCACAAATGTGATCAGAAAGTCTGTAACACTGAAAAATGCCTTGGGCTGATTCTTAGCATCTTTTTAACATTTGAGCAGTTCAAACTGCTGCAGCAGATCTAAACTCAAATGAGTTGGCAGAGCTTTTGCTCAAGGTTGTATTTGCAACCAACATTATACACTTACTTGCTATTAAGTTGTTTATTTTCCAACATAGAAGCGGCTCCGCTCTGCCCAGAATGTATTGCCTACTTTGCAAATGAAGAGAAAAAGCTTTCCAAGCACAGAAAGGACCAAATCATATACTGAACAGCATAGAAATCTCATTAAGAATAAACACATCTGCTAGATGTGGAGCCATCATTGCTGGTAGCAAGCTGATTTAATAACATCATTGCTGCAGCCATTAAATAAGACCCAAATACCAAATTGGCTATATACATTAATAATCAAAATAATATTCAATAGCAAATATAATTCTAGAGCACAGCCACAGCTCAGGGTCCCATCTTCACATCACTCTAAATTTTACTTTTCCTCTCCACACTGGACAATACCTGCTTGTGGAACCTAGAAGAGTCTCCCTCAACTTTTCTTTCATTTTTAACCTGACATGACAATGCTGATCCTTCCTCCTCAGAAGGATTCAATTGCAATCAGTTAGAAGGCTGTCCTGTAACCAACAGAAAGGGGTGACGTTGACTGAAGTACCAAGTTTGCTTTCACCATTCAACCGACTATGGCCTTTTTGAGCTTTTTTGGCTATAAAATCTCCAAGGAAAACCACCAGTGTGGATGAATAACACACAGGTATGTCCTTCAGACATTCGAATGTCCGTGGCCTAAGGGAGCTAATTCTAATGATACTATGTTCATTAGTGACAAAGGAGGGTCTTGTGCTTAAGGCACAGGTGAGGAAATCAGGAGACCTCAATTATATTGCTGACTTTGTCACCACTTTCCAGTGCAAACTTGAGTGAGACAATTACCATCTCCATACCCCTGTTACTAATCTGTACCTCCCAGGGTCTTGAGAGGTAAAATGCATTGTTGTAAAATGCTTTCAGATCCATGGGCAGAAGGTGCTGTAGAAGTATGCTAGTTATTTTTATTGCTTATTTTGTCTCTAAAAACATCACAAATCTTTTTTATTCATGCTGTGTCTATCTACATTGGTGCAATCTTGCACCAAAGCGGCCGCTTTTGCACAAAAACTTGCTGCTTGTCTACACTGGCGGGGAGTTCTTGTGCAAGAACACTGACGTTCTTATGTGTGAAATCAGTGCTTCTTGTGCAAGAACTATGATGCTCCCGCTTAGGAATAAGCCCTCTTGCGCAACTGTTCTTGCGCAAGAGGCCAGTGTAGACAGGCAACATGAATTTCTTGCACAAGAAAGCCTGATGGCTAAAATGGCCATCAGAGCTTTCTTGCGCAAGAGAGCGTCTACACTGGCACGGATGCTCTTGTGCAAAAGCACATCTCTTGTGCAAAGGCACATGCCAGTGTAGACGCTCTCTTGCGCAAATACTTTAACGCAAGAACTTTTGCGTTAAAGAGTATTTGTGCAAGATCATGCCAATGTAGACATAGCCATAAGTTGCCTCATCTTGGTGTTTAGAAAAAGGTCTGACAGACAGTTTTATTTTAATCACATTTTTTCACTTGTGGCATTTTTCATCCCTGAAGATCAAAGTTCTTTACAAACTCTGGACAAGCTCATCAAATTGATGTACCTCTGTTGATTTCTCCATGAGGTTGCATCCATGACCATCTTCGATTCAAAAAAGAATTAGGTAAGTTAATGCAGGAAAGGTCCATCAATGGTTATTAGCCAAGGTGGTCAGGGATGCATCTCCATACTCCAAATGTCCCTAAATCTCTGACTACCAGAAGCTGAGACTGCTTGATGGGATGAATTGCTCAAATTGTCTGTTTTATTCACTCCCTCTGAAGCATCTGAAACTGGCCACTGTCAAAAGTTATTGGCTAGATGGAACAGTATGGCTGTTCTTACTGCTTAATTCTAATACCCGGAGAATGAACGATCTATCGTGCCATTTTGAAGCATCTCCTTGCAAAATTCCTTTCACAATACAAACTATCAAAGCAACTTCACACAAAGTAATTAATCATAAAAGACTTGCAAGGTTCTATCATGTTCA